GATGATGATCAGTACAGTAGTTTCCAAGATCCACGTTTTGGAAATAAACATCACAAGCTCCATTATAATAATATTCTTCATATTTAAAATGGCTACACATGCACAAGTACATAAAGAGTTTGTTTTTTTGTAATTAAACACAAAGCTACACAATGGGCTATCTGTGCTCTGCCCACCACTGGTATCAAAACTCGGATTCTAGCATTGTGGCAGACATACCACTGTGCCACTGGGGGGTTCACATAAAGAATAGGTCAAAATAGTCTAACATAAAACTATAACATACCATCTAAAAGCATTAATCCCCATTCCTGTTCCTTCAGCCAAGACATAACTTGCTCTGCCTCCCATGATCGTTTCTGAGTGTGTGTGATCATAGAGTAGGTTGTTATACATATTCCACACCCTAAAAGTAAAGAATTAACATAGATTAAAAGAGATGAACCCTTTCTTATTATTACAGTATCAAACTTAAATGTACTGATTATATGCTCTGTAAGTCACTGGAACTTACTCCAGAAGAACAAGTTAAAACAATTATTAGAAACAGTCACTTGTGAACATAGACATCTTCAAGCTTCCAACACTTACAGTGCTACTTAGCAATTAAATTATTTTCTAAGTTAAGCAGCTTTATGATTTACCCATAGGTTTGTCTTTGGCATCAGATGTAAAACGACAAATAATGCTGTCATCAGCTGTGGACCACATCTTAAACTGTAAAGTATAAATCAAAACTTCTTGTAACAAAAATACAAAATACAGAAGAAGTACACATCAACTACCACTAAAAAAATCAGAACATCAAAATGCCTACATTGGTGCAAGTTTTACTTCAGTAAATGACAGATCTTTTATCAATCTAACTTAAGAAATAGTGACATATCTTATAAACTATTATAGCTGCAGTTGCCTGTTAATTTTAAAACACTTTTTGAGATATAAAAAACACCTGTAAGGAATGCATTGAAATTTGTGTAAGTATCTATTATGAATGAGTTCAATATTTGTATTAGTTACAATATTAATGTTCAATATAAAAAATATT